TGTTTTTAATTGTGTCGCTCTTTGATGACCATTTATGAAACCTGCATTTTCGTCTTTCATTCTTACGTACGTCTAGAAATTTACAGAACTCAAATTATATATCTGAATAAAAGGAGTTGTTGGTTTTATTTACGTCAATAATATAGCAAACAAACCAAAAACAAAAACAAAAACCAAGAGACATCCAGAGAGCAAAGTGGATTTTTCGGCTTGCAGTACAAACTCAGTATATTAAGTATAAAGAACAGTTATATTATAACTTTACCACGTCAAAAGTTCTCTCGTTCATTTCATTCCATAGTAGGGTGAAATGACTAACTTTCATTTGACCTTTAAAGAGGCAGAATTAGTTGACACAAATGTTATGCCTTTTTGCATGGCTGATTGTATATATTTATGTTGAACATGTTAAATTCAAGGCGATCTTGTAGCGAACGCACAACCCTATACTGTGTTTGGTTTTTCTACGATATCTAGTTAAGAAAAAACTTTATTATCGGAGGGGTGAAACGAGGGAGAAAATAATATGTATTAGATACACATTAAGGGCGTTAGCCCGAATGAGTGCGTATTACTTACACCAAGATAAATTGAATATTGTCAATGCAGAATGACAAATTCAATAATTTAGGACAGGGACTTTCAATACTAACGGATTCCCTGTTAAGGAGGAGATCTTTTAACAATTTGACAATATGCTATTGAAATGCATGATAAATGCAGGGTATCAAATTTATTTATCGACATCTTTGTGTAAAAAAAGATACAATTTTGCTAGATAAATAGAAAACAATAACACATTTCCTTGCATAATCTTATCTAAAATTATTGAAAATTATCATAATTTATGGGTATTGTTTTAACATGATACACCAAAGCCGAATTTTGCATGTTTGCATTACACACTTGCACTGTTTGGATTAACGTATCAATTAGAAGGTAGGTTAGAAAATCATAAAAACAGAATTAAAGGACAAAACGCCATTATATGGTTTTCCGGATAATGTTTTTTTTTTGGCAAATATTAAAAAAAAAATCTTAAACTTTTACATATACATAACATTTTAGGTAAACACCTAGAGTTACATATATACCAGCATACATTTTTGATAGGAAAAAAATGCTATCAAAGATACTTCAGAAATGCCTAGCTCCATGCCTAAGAAATATACATCTTTTTTATTGTTCACATTTATTTAACCTCCATTCAACAATGGGAAGGAACATTTGCCTCAGCTGTGAAATGAATTGATTTAAAACGACTTTTAACATATTTACTTCTGACTTGTCAATATCTTAGCATAGAATATGATCAGAATATGGTCTGTGTATAAAACAAGCATACCGCTGTAATAAAAGCACTAGACAATTTATACATGTAAATATATGCTACTTCCAACAGAATTTTGTTTTGTTTTTAGTTTTTAATTATTTTTTTGTCATTATCGTTTATTTTTTAACCACTAAATTTGCGGTTTTGTGATATGTTCGTGCAGTTTTAACAATGTCGTCAATAATGTTCAGAAAGAAGCTACTAGTATTATAAAATGTGTCAGAACCTTAAATTACACATACATGAACGGAGCTATGATACCATGACAGGTGTACATATGATGTAATTGTGAAATAGCCATTGTAATTGCCAAGTTTTTGATAGTTTAAGGATCATTTTTGATTAGTGGCACGTGCCATCGAATTCAATCTTTATTGACAGAAAATATTAAATAACGAATACATTTATTACTATTATAGGAAGAAAAAGGCGAAGAAGAATTATTTGCTATAGTGCAACTTGAATAAACAAATAAATACATAATTATTTTATATTAAATAAAATTGTTATTAAAATGAAAGAAAGGATTAACGCATTTACAAGGATATATACTAGATGCTGAACTTAAATTAGGTTGTATTGTTTTAACGAAAACTTCTATGAGGATCTGGAGGGGGTCCTTTTTTTCTTTATTCTTTAATTTTTTATGCCGATTTTCTCTATTCTTTAAACTTTTTGTCTATTATTATCAATTCATATTCAAGCACCTTATTATTCTCTATTCTTTATTTTTTTTTATCCATTTTCTCTATTCTTTATATTTATTGCCACTCATTCTCTATTCTGTAACCTCCTCCCCGCCCCCTCCCATCAACATCTTCTTCTTTCCGATGGTATGTTATTTATAGTTTTATTGTCTCGTCACGGTCTAAGTGCAGTTTTCAGAATATTAACTGCACTCGGAGACATGGTTCCCTGATGCGGCCTTGGTGACTACGCATCACTACGAAATAAAAAAAAAAAAAAAAAGAAGACGGTTGTCCAAATATAAAAAGAATAACACGCACGGGGAATGATTACTAAATGCCACGAAGTAATTATTAAGTTTTAGAGGAAAGTATCGAAAGATAACGAAATTAACGATATAAATTATCTGACATAAAACATATTTGTATTTACGTTTATCGTTCCCGATGAAGTTAAATCCAGAAACGTGCTTCAGACGCATGAAATTTATAAGGTGTTTTCACTCTTTTGATAATGTTATGTTTAAAATTTGCAATTACTTCTTTTCAAAGAATAAGTAGATAAATACATAAATTAACATCAGAAAATAAAAAATAAAATAAAATCATAAACAGTTATAGGCGAATAAGTTATTTCCTCAACAAAACAAAATCACTAATCTCTTAAAAAAAGACCAACAGAAATAAAACGTCAACCAATGATTTTATGTTTAATTATTAAAAATATACGTTTTTCATTCTAGCATTTATATTGTAATTTTTTTATAATTAAAATGTATCATCCACATGAAGGGGCGTAACTCCTAATATCATTCTGACACACTAAACGGATCTTAACCCGATCTGAAAATTTTGAACATTACTTTTTATGTTTGGTCTGAATTCGTCTAAAACCGTCTTAACATATCTTGTTTAACAGCTAGAGCCTTCTGTCTTGTTTATCTTGACATGAATGAACGGACTGAACACGACATATCTGAACAGCGTCTGAAAGTCTTTAAAAAAGTCTTAACGTTTTTCCCTAGCGGTAAATTCAGTTGATTCAGACTTGATCAGACCAAAATGACCGTTTCAGACTGAAATCTTGCTACTAGTGTACGTCTCGGTGTTAAAGACTGTGTGAAGGCTAGTTATGAAACGGTAACAGTGAGCGATATAAGGGGTCACAGGGTTACGTTATCGTGTCTATTCTATGTGATGTCCTATAAGTGGTGCCGTGTGAGCTAAATGTACAATATGCACTTTGCTCCTGACCTTCATTCAAAAATTCAAGGCTGTGTAGAAATAATCTGCACACTTGCACATTTAAACGGACTTGTTTGTGTCTGATATAAGATAGCAATCGTGAGTTAAATTCTGCAGAAAATACAACAATCAAAATGCCTGTCAAAATTTTTATAATTTGCATATAAAAAAGTAATTCTCAGCTAGAATTTGCATTTGTATTTTGTTTCTGATGTAGTTTGCAAGTTCATATGAAGACTATAATATACATATGATACCACTCACAGTAAAAACAACTTATTTTTTCTATATTAGCCTTTATCATTTAAGACATCTAAGATCCAGATTGGGAGGCCAAAATATCTAAAATGCTTGGAAACTTTGGAATCCCGAATTGGTCGAAAACTTTAGTTTTTTTTACTTTTTCTGTAATAGTTACATCCTTAGTTTTGGCATAGTTATATAATTTAGTTAAAAATAACTTTTGCATTTGCCTATTTAAGCCATCAAAATACCGATATATACTAATCCATTTAAAAAATGATTTTTTTCAGTTTATATCTATTTTTATTTTTCGGGTCTCAACAAGTTGTTGCTGATATTATAATTATACATGTATATACTCTATATATTTGCGTGTTTGTGGAAGGGTTTTGCCAAACTAAGCATCAATTAATTTCAGTGAGCAATATTAACCAACCAACCTTCAATCAACCAATTTTATTGTAATGTAGTCCAAGAAAAAATATAATGCATTTCTGGTCAGCTACGAATAGGTTTTTTTATAATTTTTGACCTGGAATAAGTCGAAAGCATCGTATAAGTAAAAATAGACTATAATCGAAATCTTTGAAATAAAATCTGATTGATTTATTTATTATGTGTTGCTTCTTGAACGTATAGTGGCAAATATTGCATACACATGCCAGACGAGAACAAAGTAACAACTGATGCAATAGCTAGGTTCTGATAGGTAGGTAAACCAGGATGCAAGACGGTTAATTTTTCATTGCCACTGCAAAATCAGAGTATAGGACGGATAGAAGCAGACACTTTGCCTTGCAACATGCCACCTACGGGACCCCTCAAAGTTGTTGCAAGGGTTCTTTGACTTTCAAAGATAGAGGCAGTTACCGTACACCATACATCGGTTTTTCGATCCCTAGTCTGATCGGACGTGCCTGTGAATTTATACATTCTACTTTTGTGAGGCTTTAACTACCAGACGTCAAGAGAAGTCCAAGGAGGGCTAAATGTCTACACCAAAGTCAAGCCTTGGGGTTGAATTAATCTTGGTTCCCTGAAATAGACCACTTTCATTATCGAAATCGAATCAGATTTAAGTTAATAAAAGTCCGGATATTTTTCTGCATACCACAAAAAATATATTTTGGATTGTTGAAAATGGCCATGATTTTTTTAACCTACATTCAGCTATAAAAGAATTTGGTCGGGATTAAGCTAAAATGTCGGTCGGGAAATGTTACATTTTTCTTTTGGTCTTGAAATTAAGCCAGGCTGCCAGTAGTATACTACCCTTCAAGCTACAAAGTAAAACCATACTGGTAAAGTATAAATCTATACAATATAAAAATAAAAAGGTGTGGTATGATTGCCAATGAGCAAACTATCCACCAGAGACTAAATGATATATTGAAGTTTACTATAGGTCACTGTACGGGCTTCAACAATGAGCAAAACCCATACCGCTTAGTCAGCCGAGAATAATAAGTATGGATACTAGTAAATGACTTTACCTGTTTGTAGCCTCTAATACTATAACATTACTAAATCCATTCTGAACCAGGTGATGAGCAGCCGACAGACCAGCAGCACCCGCACCAACAACTACTATACGTGCATCTTTACTCGACATTGTCACACTGAAATTAGGTAAAGGAATTCAATGATTGTGTATTCATTATCTGTTTAATACATTACGGAACTGATAAGGAATCAACAATTTATCTGCATATGGGAGAAATTTTTCTTTTCGGACAAAAAACAACCTCTCTCGATTTAGAAAATTATTTTAATATTTTTCGTAAACCTGATTCTTAATCCTCGACGTTTTTAACATAAGAAATTAAATCTAAGAGATGAAAGTAAAAGGAATTAACAAGAAATCCCTCACTTCCCCCAGAATTAAATGGTTCGTACCTAGGTTGTTAAGTGTCAAGTCTCGTTTAAGTGTTAAATACAATACAAAGGTCACAAAAGAGAGTGCTCCGTTGCCTAATAGTTTTTCTGCAAAAGTAGACAGGTCAAGGTACGAGTCAAAAACCGAGGACCTTGACCTGACTACGAGATTATTACATATCAGTCTGTTAAAGAGCTCTAAAGAGCTTATGTTTTATGTAAATTTGTATATACGAATAACCCGACTTCAAATAAAGATTTAAGATGTGTGTATGTTGTGCATATGAACGCAAAATATTCATGACCAGTTGCTTTCTTTAAAAAAGAAATGCAATCGTGAACCTAAATGCTTGCTTGGTATATAAGATCAAATTATTTAATACGGAACTAGACTGGCAATCAGTTTGGAAAAAAGCTTCACAAGCTGCCTGTATCAAACAATTTTTTGCCTAACAGTTTTTTCTGCAAAAGTAGACAGGTCAAGGTACGAGGCGAAAGCCGAGGACCTTGACCTGACTACGAGATTATTACATATCATAAAATAAAATAGAGAATGGAAATGGGGAATGTGTCAAAGAGACAACAACCCGACCAAAGAGTAAAAAAGCACAGCCGAAGGCCTCCAATGGGTCTTCAACACAGCGTGAAAATCCCGCACCCGGAGGCGGACTTCAGCTGGCCCCTAAACAAAACTGTGTACTAGTTCTGTGAAAATGTACGTCATACTAAACTCCTAAACATATAAATGAACCAAAATTAAAAAACATACAAGACTAACAAAGGCCAGAGGCTCCTGACTTGGGACATGGGGCAAAAATGCGGCGGGGTTAAACATGTTTAGTGAGATCTCAACCCTTCCCCTATACCTCTAGCCAATGTAGATTAAACAAACACACAGCAATACGTACAGTAAAACTCAGTCTGTTAAAGAGCTCTAAAGAGCTTATGTTTTATGTAAATTTGTATATACGAAAAACCCGACTTCAAATAAAGATTACTTTACTTGTATCACTTTATGCAAATTTACGATGAATGTATGTTGTGCATATGAACGCAAAATATTCCTGACCAGTTGATTTACGATGTGTGTATGTTGTGCATATAAACGCAAAATATTCATGACCAGTTGCTTTCTTTAAAAAAGAAATGCAATCGTGAACCTAAATGCCTGCCTGGTATATAAGATCAAATAATTTAATACGTAACTAGACTGGCAATCAGTTTGGAAAAAGCTTCACAAGCTGCCGGTATCAAACAATATTTTCCAACTCCAATGGAAATCACTACACAATATACATTATACTGAATTTAAATAGTACCAAATGCGAAAGTCTGATGGACTAAGTAACTTATGTGGCAATTGTTTTGAAACCCAAGAGCATCTATTCTATCATTGTTATAATTCAAAACATCACTGAAGAAATAAAAAGATTGCTATCTCTGTGCATAGATATAACGCTTAACTTTGATGTCCAAAACATGATTATTGGATATAATCAACATCCTGATAAAACGCAAATAAATATTTGAAATTTTATAGTGTTTTCAGGAAAATTTAGTATTTGGAAAGGTCGGAACGACATTAAATTCAATAAAACAGCATTTAATGAAATATCCATCCTCCGTATTTTTATGAAAGATATGTCGAATGATTTTATCAAAATGATCGCTAAATCAAACACAATCAAAAATTATTCGGAAAAGACGGACTTGACCGTTTATCTCAAATATTGTAATTACTATTAATAGTCGAATTCGCTTATTCTTTACTTATTTTTTAGATATATATACATTTTTTGTGAAATAACTTGTGCCTCGGTATTATAGTTAAAATTATCATTTGAATACAAAAGGCACACTTTGAACTGGTGTTTTGTTTATACACCATTTACCAACAATCGCCATTATTTATATAAGTTAATTTTACAGTTTTTATTTTATACATATTTATATTGCATACTACCTTATTGTATTACTTTTTTTGTAATAGTATTTTACTCACCGCAGATTGTGTTTCTTTATAAGTGCACATACATTTATTTCACAAATAATCATTCATCGAAAATTCTAAAGTGTTTGAAGCACGTGTCCTGTCGATGTCAATATCTAACAGGCATTTAACCAGTAACACAATTTAAATAACAAAAGATTTCATAATTGTTTGTCTTTTATTTGCACGATATAGGATACGTCCAGCGGCAAATTAATATGCATATTTAGGACGAGAACATATTAATGTAATATGAATACTAACCCTGCTCTGTACTAGACTGACACGCTGAACCGAATTTTTAACGTGCTAGTTCATAGGTTAACAGGAAAACATGTCACCTTACCCGGACACATTATTTTAACTCCGAGCCGACCAGTCTTTGCTCATACTCCTTAATTCCGCGTGTTAAGCGGAGAAGCAGCAAATACCAGTTTTAAAGAATTTGGTTTGACCCGGCCGGGGTTCGAACCCACGACCTCCCGCATTCGAGGCGAACAAGCTACTACGACACTACCGAGGCGGTCAAATGGTTAGAAGAAAAAAAAATAACAGTTATATATATCTTTATAATTGTATTTAAAAAGGATAAATTTATATGAAAATACAAGATTTCAAGGTGTGTAGAATACACTAAGGCCGTGTTCAAATTGAGCTAAACTCGGTGTGGTGTAAGTGTACTCTACACTTAAACCATGGAAGTAATATTGAATATTACTTCCATGCTTAAACTTAACTCAATTACGTTCCCATTGATAATCAAAGCACCAAGGGCGCTATATAGGCAGTTAATTAAAAAAAAAAACCAAGGCAAACGTGGCAGAAGCTTAAGTTAAGATTAATATTGTAGAAGAATTGGTTTAATTTTTTATCTCAGCTATTTCAAGTTAAAAAAATGTTTGTACCTTAATGTTTCCGCTATCCAATCCTACCATTTTCAAAAGTTATTTCTAATTTATCTTTAATATGTTTCCTTTAAGATGAGCCTTAAATGAAAATTTTTATAGGTCCAGATATAACTCAAAAAATAATTAAGTAAATTCAACCTAGACTTATTTCTTGCATCAATTAAATTCTATAATAAACAAAAAATAATTGTAACAGGATACTGTTACGGAGTCTCCAAAACAAAGCTCCTATATAATTCGTCGCCTAATTGGGCCGAGTCAAGTACAAATTGGTTTGGTCAAGTAAAGTGATATGCATATGTGACGCCTAGGAGATTGACCCTGTATGTCATTCAAACATTCTTGAGTTGACGAACAGGAATATTATATATATGGTTTAGGGGTGGGGATCTCAACCTTTTTCAAGTTCTCAAAAGGTTGGGGTTGATCCCCAGGGGACTCTCCCTTTATTTCATTTGATTTGTTTTAATGTCCCATACAAGAATATATATGGTTTCCGGGTGGGGATCTCGACCGTTTGCAAATTTTCAAAAAGAAGAGGGGTGGGGTGACCCCCATGGACTAATCCCCTATATTTTATTTTATTTTTTTTATTGTCCCATACATGAATACATATGGTGTAAAGGGTGGGGATCTCAACCGTTTACAAGTTATCAAACAGGAGGGGATGGTGTGACCCCCAGGGTCTCCCCTATATTTAATTTGATTTGTTTTATTGTTCCATACAAGAATATGCATGGTTTAGGTGTGGGGATTTCGACCGTTAGCAAGTTCTCAAACAGGAGGGGGTGGGGTTGACCCCTGTGGATTCCCCCTATATTTCATTTTATTTGTTTTATTGTACCATACAAGACTATGTATGGTTTAGGGGTGGGGATCTCAACCGTTAACAAGTTCTTAACAGAAGGGGTGGGGTTGACCCCCAGGGACTCCCCTATATTTCATTTGATTTGTTATATTGTCCTGTTATCATTACTGAAGATTGCGTGTGTGTCTATCACTTACTGTTTTCAAGTAATAGTCATTTGAAAATTGAAAAAAATAAAATCCCATTAAAGGGTTCTTTGGTAAACCCCTCCCTTATTTTAGCCCCTAAAAATACCCCTAAATAGACCCCAATGCACAAACGAAAGATTGATAACTCCGCTAGACATGTTCGTCTAACATTTTATGAAACCCTAAGTAAATCTGACAAGCGGTCCTAGTTGTCTTCTAAGACGGTCCGAGTGGACACCTGCCAAGGTCAGTGATAAACGGGATAATATACATGTAATAAAAGAAAGGAATTTAAATGTGCATACATTTAATTGAAATGAATAAAATAATCACAATCTTCTTAAACGAAAAGAACATCATTATTAACAAAACTTACTTCAAAACATCAGAATACTTGCCTTACGTTTCGTGTAAGTTAAAATTACCGCCAACGTAGACTACTACGTATAACTTTATTTCCTCTATCATAGAAATTTGGTGTACATGAACAATATTCCTGCGCTTTTGGCCATTTAGGAAATGTAAACGACTTGTAATTAGAGATTTTCGGCGATGAAATATTTCATACAATTGTTCTTTGACATCTTAGCCAAAAGCACATGGGATGATAAACTACGTATGGATTTCTATCGAGCACTACTTCCTATGTGCAACTTCAAAAGTTTTGGGTAGTTCGACGATCATTTAAGGTTTTTCTGGCCATATTTTTTTATTCCAGAATTGAAAGTATGAAAAAAGTGCCCAATTAGTTATTAATAACATATTAGCCAGCTAGATAATAACAATAGCACTTTTTACACCATTTAGTGGGAAGAACACAAATCTAGGGTGGTAGCATAAGGCAGCTTAA